CCCGGGCTTCTAACGTTCGGAGGTACCCTTACCCTGGGGTCTTCACCCGGCTCACTCACCTCATCCTACCCCACACCCACGACCTGTTTGCCCCTCCCTCGACTCCACCTCCTGGAAGGGATGAGGGATAGAGGGGGTCCTGAATTTGAATCTCCAAGAAGTACCTACGCGTCTGCTAAGGAAAGAGAGGCAGCGGGGCTTCGGTTCCGTTTATTCCAGAGCATCCCTACTCCATCACAATCCATTCTCACATTTCGGAGCTCAATGTCCCTCCCCCAGCCCACCCCCCATGTCCACAGAAGCCAGAGTCCCCAACTCTCATCCTTCAAGGGCAGCTGCCAACACTCATAGAGGAGGTGGCCAGGTCCCACTGTCAGGGAGGAGACTAGATCCAAAAGTGCACTCTACTCGCTTCCCAACATACACATCAGGACCCTCCTTAGAGGGAAGACAGACTCCCATTCTGGACTATCAGAATTTAAAAGCAGAAGAATTTTTTTTCTTCCTAAGTAGGAACTAGGATGGAGGTGAGCAGGAGGGATGATGAGGTGGGAGGAGCCAGAGGGGCTCTAAGAGAAACACACATTTAGGGTTAGGCAAGCTTAGGCACCCCTGTATACTTCCCAGTTAGTTAGGATCCCAACACAACACCCAGCCCTTTCTCAGACCTGTTTTTTACTGCTTCTCCCCTTCCCTGGGTGGGGGTGGGGGCAAAGCCCAGAGAGTCTTTGTCCTTTCTTGCGCTTAGATCAGACTCCTGCCGCAGCCCTAGGTAGAACCCTCCAGAAGCTGGCCAAATTGATTTTTCTCTACATCACAGGCTTCTGCTGGCCAGCAGAGGATTAGACTAGGCCAAGGGGAAGGGCACTGTGATGGAAGAAAGGGAGAGGGAATGAAAGTTCTGCTCAGAAATTGTCTGGTCAGTGTGTAAGGTATGGGATAAGGGTGAGAGACTGATGGACTGGCCAGACAAGACCTAACCAAACAGAATCAGTGAGGGGATTTCCCAAGATAGGACTGCACCTCTAACTCACCTTGAATCTTAAGGGAACTGAAGGAAAGGGGTCCAGCCAAAGGAACTGGATGGCAAGTCAGTAAGACTGTGGAGAAAGAGGTAGAGGCTTGGGGAGGAGCCAGAAGAGAAAATGACAATGAGTTCCAAACTCAGGAACTCTCTAGTCACTTGGTTTGGCACTACTTCTAAGGGTTGCAGCATCCTGCAAGCAAACTCAGGAAACAACCAACTTTGGGCCCCCAGGGGGTCCAAGGAGGAACCCTTAGTTACAGAGTCCTAAAATGCTAGTCCACAGAGGCTCACTAGTCAGAGGAGTGAAGTAGGTGTGCCCACACTTCGAAAGGAGCTGGTGAGTTCTTCGTAAAGACCGACCCCACCACACCAGCTCCCACGCTGGAGGTTGAATCCAGATCTCACATTGCGCTACATTCCCAGCCCTTTAAAATTTTTTATTTTCATTTTCATACAGAATCTCACTAAATTGCCCAGGCTGAGCTTGACCTTGGTATCCTCTTACCTCAGTTTCCTAGAGTGCTGAGAATACAGGTGTGTATCACCACACCCAGCTTCTTAATTTGTTAAATTTCAAAGAACTGACATTTATTCTTGAGTGTGTCCTTTTAGTCTTGTACCAAGTAATGATGGCAGTAGTATCTAACAGGCATTCTATTGGTAAAGTACTTACTTGGTAAAATAAAAGGGTAACTATACTATGTCTATCCTTTAAAAAAAATTTTTTTTTTTTAGTGGTACCAGGGATTGAACTCAGGACCTTGCACTTGTGAAGCAGGCGGTGGAAACACTGAGCTAAATCCCTGGTGCAAAAGTTTTTGTTTTTTGAGAGAGGGTCTTGCTATGTAGTTTAGGCTGGCCCTGAATTTATATAATAGCCCAGCTGGCCTCAAACTCTGGATCATCCTGTCTCAGCATGCTGAGTGCCAGGATTAAGGCATGCACAACCACACCCAGGCTAGGTTTGTTATTTTAATTTTATTGAACTATGAAGTTTAAAAGTCTATTAATGAATTAATTCATAATACAGAGAGTGTTCATATTTGGAGGCACCATTTACCCATTTATGATCTGAAGATAGGATTGCTAGATTTGAGAAACAAAAAACAGAATACCCAATGAAATTTGAGTTTTGGATAAACAATTTTTTTTTTTTTTTTTGTAACGGGGATGGAACTTGGGTCCTTGTGCTTGCGAGGCAGGCAGCAGAACCACTGAGCTAAATCCCCAGCCCTGGATAAACAATAATTTTATGTATATGTACCAAATATGATATGAGGCACATTAAAAACAAAAATAGGAATTAATATTCTATTCATTAGCTGAAATTCAGATGTAACAAAGTATCTTGTATTTTATCTGACAGCCCTAACTTAAGAAGACCGTTTCACTTTTCCATTGCTAAACTACACTGTTTACTAAATGTTACTGTTCTATGCCTGAGTGCGTGCGTGTGTGCTTGTGCATGTGTTTTGTTGTTGTTTTGTAGCGGGGATAGAACTCAGGACCTTGCGCTTGCGAGGCAGGTAGTGGAACCACTGAGCTAAATCCCCGGCCTGTAGGTATGTGTGGGTGTGTGGGTGTTTTGAGACAAGTTCTCACTCTGTAATTCAGGCTGGCCTTGAATTCATTATGTAGCCCAGGCTGGCCTTGAACTCGTGGCAATCCTCCTGCCTCAACCTCCTGAATGCTGGGATTACAGGCGTGCACAACCGCACCCCGTGTAAATGTTAGTTTTTGAAACCCTGGCTAAAGAACATAACTGGCTGGGTGATTTCTAGTCGTTTAATTTCTGGGAGTCCAGAAAAAGGAAGTATTAAAGTTGTTTTATAGACTTGATGTAAAAATGAAAGAAAGTTGTATGAAATAGCTCTCTAAGGTGCATTATTGTGGGTCCTGGACCAGTGGACCCAGGACTACACATCCCAGAATCCTAGGCGGCGTCTCCTCGCCATTACCTCATTCCCAGGCCTAGCTCTCGCCAATCCCAGCCTCTGCAAGGGTGTGGTAGCGGCTGTTCTCGCGACTTGTGCTTTACCCTTCTGCTGAGTTACCACTATCGCGAGATTTCCTGCTCTGCCGCTCCCTTTGCTGCCGCTTTAGCCGGAGACCCGGACCCAGCCTCTCCCTTACCAGGTCACTGGCCCCAGTCCCACCGAGGCCTGGTCCCCCAGCCCTGCCTCACCGCCGCCATGGCGGACCCTAAATACGCCGATCTTCCCGGCATTGTGAGTACAGGGCCGGCCCGGCTCCGCAAGACCGTGCCCCCGACCTCCCGAAGACCCCCTAACAGACTAGCCCACGACCCTTCCCGCCTGCAGCCCTTCCTCCGCCCCTCAGGCTCGCGCCGCTCGCTTTCAGACCGGCCGCAGCACCTTCCGGACTTCTTTGACCCAATTGGGCCGGGCCATCGGGCGGAGCTCCTGGCCCACTTTCCGTATGTCGCCGGTTCCTGACCCAGAAATCTTCGGGTGCTTACACTTGTGCCCGACATTCTCTGCCATCCTGTCAACACTGTTCGTGCCCATAAGGCCCCGTATCTCTGTCCCAGACATACTTGCCAGGCCACTTAGTGATGGCCTTCATATTGCCAAGTTACTGTGGCAGAACCTTCTTGTGCCCCGTGGGGAACTCAGTCCTTTGGGGAAACTGTGTCTGACCCTTCTCTCCAAATGCACAAGCTGGCATGTACCCTTTTGTGCGGCCTGGCCTGCATTCTGGGGTTGGGGGTTGGGGCACAGGACTTTGGGAACTAAGGTCCTGAGTCACTTTCAGCCCTTGTGCCCGGGGAGTGATGTACAGGGCCTAATTTGAGGATGGCCTTCACCTGCTTTGGACCAAATGATTACCAAGGACCCGCCCTCCTCCATGTTGAGGATAACATCTTTGTTATCATACCGTTTACTGTCTGGTCCCAATAGTGCCTGCTGACATCTCTACCCCAACAGAGACATGGGAACTAGCATGCTGTTCTTAGGACAGGTTGAGAAGAGAGCACAGAATTCTGGCATTGTCTCCTTTCTCCATTAGCCTGTTCAAATGGAGTGGGGTTAAAGGGTGTTGATAGATGCTAGGTAGTGAGTTTGCTTGGTCACTGCTTCCACCTGCAGGCACGGAACGAGCCAGATGTTTATGAAACCAGCGACCTGCCAGAGGATGATCAAGCGGAGTTTGATGCGGTAAGACTGTGCTGCCTCAGGATTCCTCTGGGCTCTGACCTCTCTCCCCCAAATAGGTCCTTTCCCTTCTCCAGGGAGCCACAGCCATAAACGGGTATGCCAGCCCCAGCCTGGGTGGTATATAAGTTGTAGGGCTTAAGGCTTTGCTGGGTTTGCAGTCACCCAGGAGCAATACCCAGTGTCAAGTCAGTGGAATTACAGTTAACAAGAAGTGTTTGTAAAGCCCTGGCTCTTGGGCCTTTTATTTTATTTTTATTTTTTCTAGTATTGAGGCTAGAAACCAGGGTCTTTTGCATGCTAGATAAGCATGCTACCTAGCTCTACCACCCAGCTATATCTCAGCCCTTTTTATTTTTTATTTTGAGACAGGGCCTCACAAAGTTGCCCAAACTAGCCTTGTACTTGTGATATTTCTGCCTCATCCTGGCTGGGATTGTGCCACCATGCCCAGTTATGGCCTTTTAAACACTATGGAAATATCTCAAAACAATTACATTTTAGACTAGTGACTTAGTTAGGTTACTGAGTTCCAATCTGTAACAGTGAATAACTCCAGCACTTGAGAGGCTTAGGCAGGATGATCATCATGAGTTCAAGGCCAGCGTGAACTACATAGTGAGACCCTGTCTCACAAAAGAAAACAGTGAATCATTTATAATCTTCTTGGGGTTAAGAAGTAGACCTTTTATTTTTTATTTTTTTATTTTTGGTACAAGGGATTGAACTCAGGACCTTGTGCTTGTGAGGCAGGCCCAGCACCACTGAGCTAAATCCCTGGACAGGCCTTTTTTATATAAACTATTTCACTCAATACATGTTTATTAGTATCTTACCAAGAACTAGACTTTGAAATGTACAGAAATATTCCTTTGTATGAATATCCAGTGTCTGTAGGGTAAGTAGCTAGAAAATGATGCTGGGCATGGTGGTGCACGCCTGTAATCCTAGCACTTGGGAGTCTGAAGCAGGAGGACTACAGCGAATTTGAGGCCAGCCTGGGCTACATAGTGAGTTCAAGGCCAGCCTAAACTATATATGAAGACCCTGTCTCAACAAACAAATAAAGGAGTTAGAAAATAATTTGGAGGTTTTAGAAAAATAAGTGATCTGGTCAGAGCAAAATAAATTTTAAAATCTTTCATAGCAGAGGAGAGGTCAAGGCAGCACTTTCAGATTTAAGAACTCACGAGGAAAGAATTAGCTGTGGACACATTTTAACCATAATGGAATCACTTAGCATTATTGATTGAATATGTTCATTCTGTGTTGACTTTTGTGCAGTGCAGAGAAAGAAATGTCCCTGCCCTTAAAGAGTCCCAAGAGCCCAAACTAATGGGGAATTAGGATAACATATAAGAGACATAAAACAAAAACAAAAAAACAAAAAACCATATAGGAGACATAGAGCAACACTAAGATGGGTATGTGTGTGTGTGTGTATATATATATATATATATATATATATATATATATATATATATACACACACACACATATATATATATATATCAATACATATATGAAACATAAGGATAAAAAAACCAAAATTGAATGGAAATTACTGTAATAAAAACTGTGTATAAGTGCCCTGGGGATAAAGATCTATAAACATGTCTCATAGGTTTTGTTTTAGGTTCTGTTATTTGCATAGAGAGCTGGGCTGGAGTCACATTGATGCTGTGAGATCTCACTGAAGTTGTGACCAGGAGTCACAGAAACAGGCCCAGTATTTGTGTCTAAGTCCTGTGGCCGTGTCTGTGGGCTGGTTAGTTCTGGGGAATGCTGGTTGCTGGCTTATAATGTATGGCTTGGCGTACTCACTTATTCTTTATTTTATTCCCCTATGTGGAAGTGCTTCCTACCTTGCGGGAAGCACCTTCCCTGTACCTTTTCTCAGTGATGTGTTCCTTGTGGCTTCTGTACTTGCTGGCATGTCAGTCTGTCTCCTAAGCTTGATTATTTGGAGATAAAGCAGTTGATGTCATTGCCCAAGGACCTGAGTGTGCACTGGTCACTCCAAGAGGTATCTTGGGAGAAAGCTGCATCTTCTCATCTTGGCCTAAGCCCCTGTCTATAAAATATCAAGCCCTCATGGTGAAATAATGAACAGAATGCTGTCTGTTTGTCCCTGGCTGTAATTTGAATAGATAGTATCACAGCAATTTCCTTTCCAAACTGATAAAAGTTATAATTTTCCTCTTGAAAGTACTGTGATAGCTCTTAGTAAAAGATGGTGCCCATTCAAGGGATGGAAGATCTGAATATATAGTTCTGATTGGGTGTTTTCTCCCCACTAAGCCTGAACAGCCAATTTTAGTAGCAGCTGGGTAGAGAGATTGATGGGGAGAGGACCCCATGAGAGTTCATTTCCTGAGGCATGTTACCAGGGATGGTGGTCAAGGAATTAAATAGCCTCCATCACCCTAGGCTCATGTAAATGACACTCCATCATTAGGGAGGAGTGGGTTGGATAGGGAGACCTTCAGCTGGCTTGAGGGCTGAGGTGTGTCCTGATATCAGCTAATGTCTCTGGCCCCCTACATGTCCCTAAGGGCCTTAGGAAGGCAGCTTTCAGGAAATCAGCTGAGTAATGATTCTGCTGCTGCTCTTAATACTGATGTAAACATGCAACTTGAGGAGCAATGGGCTGTATGCTTAGCTAACCCAGAAACATTGTATCCATGAGGTCTGGATTCTCACTAGCAGCCTGTCCCCTTCTCACATACCTGCCCAAGACCTGCAACAGGTTACAGTGCACATCATCACTGTTGTGGATGAACCATGAGGTTTTGAGTCACATTCTTAGTGCCTGGCAACCACATTCTCTGCCTTGGTCTCCAAATTATTTTCAATTTTAATTTTATTAGTTTTTAAAATACGTAATATATACGCAGAGAACCAATATTGAAGGCTGTGTAGTGAAGTCTCTCCCACCCCTGCTTAACACCAATCAGGTCACCTATCCCCTTCCTGAAGATAACCAATGTGGCCAACTTCTTTCTCTTTCTCCCTCTCTCTTTCTTTTGAGATATGCAGTTCAGGCTAGCCTTGAACTCACAGTGATCCTCCTGCCTCAGTCTCCCAGTGCTAGGATTCTGGGCATGCACCACCATGCCCAGCTCTCTCTCTCTCTTTTTTAAATGGTTTTATGGATTGAACCTCATACATGCTAGGAATGCACTATACTATTGACTTTCAAATTATTTATTTATTTATGAAAGAGCTTCACTGTGTAGCCCAGGTGGGCCTTGAACTCATAGTCACTTACCCTGTTTCATCCTTCAGAGTGCTAGGTAGGATTATATATGTGCACCACCATGCCTAGTCCTTTTTAAATTTGGAGACAGAGTCTTATTAAGTTGCCTAGGCTGGCTTCAAATTTGCATTCCGCCTGCCTTAGCCTCCTGAGTACCTGAGATTATGGCATGTGCCACCTTGGCCACCTTGGCCAACTTTTTTTTTTTGGTACCAGGGATCGAACTTGGGATTTTGCACTTGCAAGGCAGGCGGTGGAACCACTGAGCTAAATCCCTGGCCCCTTGGCCAACTTTTTGTGTAACCATTTCTAAAAAAATGTTTTAATTTAAAAATTTTTGTTAGTACATATTTACAGTACATAATGCTTTCATTCATCATGGGAAATTGGTACATCTACATATTTGTGGAATCTTCTCAAAGGTCTTCATATTTTTACTTCAAGGGATATCAAGTATTGTTGGCCCTCACTGTCCTTTAACTTCCTCTGATTTCTCTACTATGAAAGAAATTGGACTACAGAAGGAAATAGTGTCCTCTATTATCCCGTGAAGATCTTTATTACTAGTTTAACTTAAACAGAAGTCTTATGAATCCCATTGTGGGAAGGATGGGACAAGAAAGTAGTGGAAGATTTCAGTTTTGCTGTAGATGATCTGATTTTTTTCTCTTAAAATCCCATTAAAACAAGCTTATCAAGAAATAAGATTGTCTTAAGACAAAACTGCACAGTTGGCCCTTTCCTTCTCAATCTAGATAGATCTCTACATTTTAGATACTCATGAGTTGATTAGAGGCTCTTCTTTTTCCAAAAAATTTTTGCACATTGTTAGAGATTAAACCCAGGATCTTCACACAGATGACTTTTTTTGTTTTTTGTCTTTCATTCTGAGACAGTCTTGCTAAGTTGCCCAGGCTGGGCTCAGCCTCCTAGAGTGCTGGGATTGCATATGTGCATCACCTCACACCCCACTTCTAGCCCTCCTCCCCCTTTTTGAAACAAGCTCTTATTTTCAGGTTGGCCTTGAATTCACTGTGTATCCCAGGCTGGCCTCACGAACTCATGACGGTCCTCCTGTCTCAGCCTCCCAAGTGCTGGGATTACAGGCATGTGCTACCATGCCTGGCTTCCTCCAGCCCTTTTTAAAATTTTTATGACAGAGTCTTGCTAAGTTGCCCAAGCTGGCCTTGAACTTGCAGTTTCCTGGCTTCACGGGCAAGCACTACTTTGTCTGGCTTGAAACATATATACATACGTATATATGGGGTTTTTTGTTTGTTTGTTTTATACTGGGGATCAAACTCAAGACCTTATGCTTGCAAGGCAGGCAGTGGCACCACTGAGCTACATCCCTAGCCTTAATATATTTTGTTAGGGAAGCTAATTCCCAAATGGAATACCCTCTGTCAGACCTACAGCCTGCCTTGGGTCAGTGAGGTGTTCTGCTTATGGCTTTTGAACTGCTGGAGCAAGGGGTATAAATTCAGAAAACCTCTTTAGAAACTAGAAGTTTTTCCCTGTATGACACCACTACTCCCAATGACATGTAAAAGGGAGAAAAATTACCTGGCCTTAGTCTGATGGCACTCCAGCATAGTCTGAGCTTAGAATATCATAGAATGTGCTTGATTGTGTTTGTTGACTTTTGGCGCACTTGAACTTACCTGAGTTTCTCCTAATGCTTCCCCCATCCTCCCTCCTCACCACCTTGCCTGGACACTAGTTTGCACAAGTAAGACCATTCAATGCTTCTTTTTTGCATGTTTTTTGTTTTTTGGTTTTTGTTTTTTTTTTTTCCTATCTGCCATCTTGCATGCAATGCTCTGCCACTGTGCAATTGTTGTAGCTAATCATTTTAAATTCCAGTGGATCCCTAGCTGGGTCACTGAGAGACCTGCTGGCCTTATGTTTAAAGATCATTAATCAAGATTTTAAAAAACTGTGATCCACAAATCATTCTCTCTTCCCCTTGTGAGGTCTGTAGAATAAAACTGTCCTGTGGAGGATAGGCTAGAAACATGGAGGCTGTGAATCCTTTTAAACTTGAGAGGTATGTAGGGCCTAGAGTTGAAAGGGAGTTTCTTTTTTCCTTTTGACACTAAAGGGGATTAACATTTTTTATGGATTGACTTTGAGTGATTCTAGACAAGGTGGAAAACAAGGAAGATGGCACAAGTCTTCACTTAGCTATACATGGATATCTGTAGGGGAAAACCCCTCATTTTAATATTATATTTAATACTTTAGAGAAAAGTAAATGAGATGGAAAGGAGGGTTTATATGCAATTTTAAGATAATAATTTGGGAGCTGGGGATTTGGCTTAGTGGTTCTCCCTGCCTCAAAAGTGTGAGGGCCCAAGTTCAGTCCCCGGTACCAAAAACAACAACAGCAAAAAGATAATAATTTGGGTTATTTGTGCTTTTGTGAGCCTTTCTGTTTTTGTACCCCTCCTTTAGAAATGAATGGATGGTCAGCATTACATTGGTCCATCATGGACAGTTTTATTCTGTAGCTCTCTTCATCTTCCTTGTCATCATAGTTCTGAAACCGCCCTGGCTGCAGTGTTGGCTGAGAGCCTGAACAGGCTCAAAAGAGCAGCAGTGGCCACCTCCTCTGTCTTGATTTGGAACCTCAGGTCTTGCCCCCTGAGGCACAGCCACTTAGCCAAACAGTCCTGACAGTCTATGAGTGAAAGGGATTATTCTCTAACACTCACCATTCCTCAGCCTATCCATAAGACAGACCTGGTGGTGGTAGATACTATTTGAAACTAATTTATCACTTTTTTTTTTTTTTTTTGACTGTTCAGTCCTCCCTATTCTGCCCATCTTAAGTTTATGGCCTATCATCTCTCCCTCTCCTTGACTCTCTCCCAAGCTGGTTTTGGCTTGGTGAGACAAGTAAGTTTGGGTTCTTACCTCATGGACTTGCATGTATGCACCTGTGAGCGCTTATGCCCACTGTGTGCAGAGATACTTAGCCCAGACCGCAGGACCTGGTGCCACCTCTATACTGTACTAAAACAGGAGTTTTGCCCTGCTGGACCCTGGCACTGGTCAGGGAATGGAGAGTTGAGTGTATGTGGCTGATATCTGGGGATAGGAATCACTTGTCTTTCTCCCACTGCAGGTTTTCATATGTATATAATATCATCCTCAGTCCCCCACATTTCCATCTGCCCATCACCAGAGCCCCTGGAAGGCAGGGCATACTGCTAGATTTCCCCTTCTAGCAGTTCTAAGCCAGTCTTTTCTAGAAGTTAGACCTTATCTGTGTGGCTTGTACTAAAATAAGGACTTTTAAAAATGATGTCACTCTTCCCCTTATCCATGCATGTAAATCCTGTGGACGGGATTTGAGAAACATGTCCTGTACATAGGCTGGTATCTGTGATTCTTGGTGTCTACTGGGCTCTTTTTGCCAGTAAATCATGGTAGAATTGTTATGCATCACTCAGAGCTGCATAGCGAGTTACCTACCACTCATAATAGATACAAACACACCAGACAGGATTTGCCCTGCCTCTCCTCTGGCAACAGGAAATAAGAATGGGACTGTAATTAGGTACTTTCTATTCCTTTAAACTCACTCTGGGTAGCTGACATATTTTTTGTTCTGCCTAACCTAAAGTCCTGTCAGACAACCCAGGAGACCCACTCTCATTGTGACTTTATTCTGATATCTAAATGTCCAGTTTTTCACTAGAGGAGCCAGTCGACAGGAAGACTTGGACCGTGAACTAGTGAGGAAAACTCTACTTGAGAATTATGAGCCCTCTGTCAGCTACATGTCCCCAATATTTCCATATCCTCTGCTTCATATTCTGCCATTTCTACAGCCCCCCCTTCTCTTCCTGCACTTTCCTGTTTCATGCCACCAGCTTGTAACATCTAACTCCTCATTCTCAGACAATTCTAAATTGATGCCGTTAATGGCAAAGCTTCATGACATCTTCACCACTAGAGAGGAAAGGGTCTCATGGTCTTCTTTCTCTTGGGGTATATGAAGACCTCTAGCTAATTTTTGGCCCCCGAATTTTGCTAGGCGCCCCTGGGGCCCTGGGGTACAGTGTGTTTGAAGATTGTCATGTAGTGCATGTGATAATTTGCTAATAATTTTGTCTTTTTTTTCCCCCTCCCTCGTTCCCATTCCCCCACTCCCTTTCCTTTTAACTCTTGATTTTCTCACCTCTGGGGAAACCACAAGGAGCTGGTAAGAAGCCTGACCTTTCATCTGCTTTGTAATGGGGTGTGCTGTGATGGGCAGTTGTTTCTCTGTCCTCTTGTCTCCACTAAGTCTTTCCTCCCTCCAGTCAGTTCAACACCCACTTGGACATCCTTTTCCTATCTCACAAGTCACTGCAGTGACGCTATCCCAGCCCATGCTCCAGATCTTTGAGACCTTGGCAGAATAGGTGCTGCTGGAGAACTAGCGTGTGCTGCCCACCTGAGTCCCCCTGGGCTGCAGAGGACCCCAGAGAGATCTGAGAATGGCAGCATTGTGCAGCCCTCCTGGCCAGGTCATGCTTGTACAGCAGGGACGGTGGGATGAAGGTGCTGTCTCTTCCTGTGACTGTTTGGAACTCTGAGCCTCACCGTCTCTGTGTTGTCCCCTTTCCACTGTCCCCTTTCCCTTCCCTTTCCCTGTTATTTAGGAGCATAAATAAGAAGCAAGTTCTTGTCTGCATATCACTCACCCATAATGAGGGCTTAACAATTGGTAACTATAACAATTTCTTAGTTTCTTTCTTTGGTCTGTAGAATATGCCTCTCAATATTTTTGTATGTGTGGCATGGGGATCGAACCCAGGACTTTGGAACATGCTAGGCATGTCCTCTGCCGCTAAGCTATAGTCCCATCCCCCATTCTTCTTTTTTTCCCCTTCCCATGCTAAGAATTGAACCCAGAATCTTTGCACTGAGTTACATCCCCAGCCTTTTTTATTTTTTCAGATGAACTCACTAAATTGCTCAGGCTGGGCTCAAACCTGCCATTCTCCTGCCTCAGCCTCCCAGAGTGCTGGAATTACAGGTGTACAACTATGCTCAGCCATTTTATTTTTTTAAATTTATCTTTTTAAGAGGATTTGTTGTTTTAAAAAACTTTTTTTTTTTTTTTTGAGACAGGGTCGCACTAAGTTCAGGCTGCCCTTGAACTCACTGTATAGCCCAGGCAGGCCTCAAACTCAAAGTGATCCTCCTGCCTCAGCCTTCTAAGTCCTGGGATTATAGGCCTATGCCACCATGCCCAGCCATTTACAAAAGATTTTAAAAGGGATTTCTGGGTTTTGACCTGGGGCTTTGGCAAGGAGAAATGGCATATATTCTTAAATGTCAGCTTCAGAGAAAGTTATTGCTCCTGAGCCTGCATCCTTTTCAGACAAACTGTTTCTAGAGACCAGAGACCACATAGTAATTTGTTGAGTGTTTGCTCTGGCTATATCATTTAAGTGACGGTTAAAGAGAGACTCATTTGGGACTCAAATGTCTCTTCCCCCCAGCACTTGGGAGTAGGACATTGGGCCCTTTTGTTTTCCCTTGCTTTATGGCTTCTGCCCTCTGTCTAGCAATTCCCTAAAGAAGAGGCAGAGATCAAAATTGGTATGTCTTACTTTTCTCCCCCCTCATCATTAAGGCTGCCACCCTCATGATTCTTTATCTAGTAGCAGAGCAGAGAGGTGAGGGACAGAGTCTGCCTCTATCTACTGCTCTCTATTCCACTTCCCCTCTCCACTTTCCACATACCCACACACAAGCAGAAGTTCCTGGCTGCAGATAAGAATCGCTTGGGTATCTGGCCTTACCCTGAAACAGTTAAATCAGCATCTAAGAAGGGGACCCAGGCCATTAAAAAAAAAAATTTTTTTTCTTTTTTTTTTTTTTTTTTCTGAGTGATTCTAACGTACAGCCAGGATTGAAAACTTTTTCTAGGTGAAGGAAAAAGTTTCATTTTTGCCTTACTCTTGTGGAAGGTGGACATGTCACCTCCAGCAATAAAGGACTCCTTAATCTCTCCCCCGCCTTCATTACTCTAGCGGGAGGCTGTTCATCTTCTGGTATGGAGGAGGGATGAGAGTCAGGAGTGCCCAGTCTTGGTGTAGTTAGTGGAATCTGAACAAGTTGATGCTTAGTAAAGAGAGAATCTCTGCTTTAGTTTCTAGGTTACAGTGTCTTTTATTCTGTCTGCTGTGTCCCCTACTTACTGTAGAGCTTCAGCTCTTGGGACAGTGCAGCCATGTCAGGGAGAAAGAGTAGGTACCATGGCTTCTCTGTAAAGAGATACTGCATCATCTTCATTTCAGGGCTTACATCTGACCTTTGCCCAAGGTGTTCCTGGCAAGCAGTTATTGTTTATGATTGTTGCCTCTAAGAGGTTCCTTTAAAAATAAGCCAGTAAGCCCCTGACTCTTCGCCTTATCCTCTGAATTGCCTGACCTCACAGCAGCCAGGAAACTAAGCTTCTAGTCAGGCCCTCTGCCAATCTTACTTTTGTATCTAAGTGCTGGTGTCTTACCTTCAGCAGATTTAATATTCATACTCAGAGATATTGGCCTGTCTGCCTTCCTTCCTCTTTCCTCCAGCACAGGATGGGAGGTCAGCTTTAAAATGGACTTACTCAGTTGGCAAGGAGATTTACTTTTGGGAAGGGGAGGTTAAAGAGGTCAGCTTGGTTTCTTGCCTTGAATGCATGTTATGTGCCAGATACATGGGAAGGGTGTGGGGGGGTGGTATGTACAGAGTGGGTGGGGAGCTTTGCTGCTTCTGTTCCTAGCTGAATCAGGGTGTTAATATTTATACAACTGAGGCTCCAAATTTACCAGGAAGCTTCTGTTTCCTAGATTGAGCCTGGGTTGGCAGCTTGTAATGAAGTCACCCTTCTTTCCCCTTGGAAAAGTCGGGCTTAGTCTCAGTGGTTTGTGATTTTTGTGGGCTACAGGAAGTTCTAGGCTGGGAATAAGTCTCCTATTTTGTCTGAACTACCTGTTCCTGCAGGAGGAGCTGACCAGCACAAGTGTGGAACACATCATTGTCAATCCCAACGCTGCCTATGACAAATTCAAGGACAAGAGAGTGGGGACAAAGGGACTTGGTGAGCCTGATCTGAAGTTGGGTAGGGGGAGCCTGGAGGACAAGCATGAAGAGTGATTTCCTGTCCTCAGATTTCAATGACTTTTGTTCTGGGGAAAGGATCACTCATGGAAATCTGGTGAAGCCCTCATACTCACCTGAGAATATGACTACCTTAGTTCTAGATCAAGCCCTCAGTCCCATTTTCTTTTCTTGGCAGATTTCTCAGATCGCATTGGAAAAACCAAGAGGACAGGATACGAATCTGGAGAATATGAGATGGTTTGTTTTGTGTGTGTTGATGGTGTGATCCTGTCTAGCAGACATTTAGCAGGGAAATCAAGGGGGTAATGTCAGGATTCTTGAGTTTCTCTGGTCAGGTTCCTAAGGAAGCCAGCAGGATGCGGTTGATGATGTTCTGCCCCCACTGCTATCCCTGATTGTTCTGGGAAGTCCCCAGGCCTCTCGCTATCTCCATTTCTTTTGTATCAGGGTGTTAAGGATTCGGGTGTTGAATATGATACCTTATGACTTAGGCCCAGGATTTGGACAAATTCTTGAAGCTCTCTGTAATGGGAGGTGTAACATCAATCTCGGTGCTTGCTCTCTAGCTTGGAGAGGGCCTGGGAGTGAAGGAGACACCTCAGCAAAAGTACCAGCGATTACTGCATGAGGTCCAAGAGCTGACAACTGAAGTTGAGAAAATCAAGGTAACTATACATTCTTTTCTCCCCACCTCTGCTGTATACATGGCTTACATAGCAGAGCAGGACCTCCCAGAAGGAAGGGAGTTTCCCGAAACTCCTTAGATAAGGAGACTGAAGTTTCCAGGGTTGGGAGATACACATGCATCTACATTTAGAGTTATTAGGTAGGCAGTCTACTGTGCTAAAAACTGACTTCCAGCCACAGCTGTCCTTACAGCTATTGATCTTTTTGTTGTCTTGATTTATTCCTGCCACCCCACATGGTCTGCCTCTTTTTCATACCAGACAACAGTAAAGGAGTCAGCCACTGAGGAGAAGCTAACCCCTGTGGTGCTGGCTAAGCAACTGGCAGCCCTGAAACAGCAGCTGGTTGCGTCCCACCTAGAGAAGCTCCTGGGTCCCGATGCTGCAATCAACCTCACTGACCCTGATGGAGCTCTGGCTAAGTGGGTGTCCTACTTTGTTGGAAAATCGTTGCTGATTGGGGTTCTGGAAGAACCGTCAGCTGGTGATAAGGGATATTAAGTGGGGAAATGGCCTAGCTATTCTTTAACGTTGACTGTGAGGCAAGAGTGAGTGACTGGCCCTCATCCTTGTCTTATTCTTGTTTTCTGAGCAGGCGCCTACTTCTGCAGCTAGAAACAACAAAGAACAGCAAAGGGAGCTCAGGGGGAAAGACCACCAGTGGAAACCCCCCAGATAGCAACCTTGTCACTTATGAGCTACATTCTCGGCCTGAGCAGGACAAGTTCTCCCAAGCTGCCAAAGTATGTATGTATGTATGTAGTGTGTGTGTGTATGTGTGTGTGTGTGTGTGTGTGTGTGTGTGTGTGTATAGGTATGTATATGTGTGTGTGTGTGTGTGTATGGTTGAAGGGCCAGAGGGGAAGTGGGCCTAGCATTTTTCTGCCTCTAAAGGATCAGACCTGGGGAGAGGGTACTAGGAAAGCTTTCTCTTGATGTCTCATTCTCCATGTTTCCCTTGTCCATCTACTTTCAGGAGTTGATTTTGGCTAGGGATGTGTTACAAAGAAAGGAGTCCCTTAGGGAAGGGGTGGGGAATGACAAGCAGACAAAGCATGATCTTGTTCTTCCTACTGTAGCAAGAGCACCATGACAGCAAATCTTAACTTCCTTTCTTCCCCTAGGTTGCAGAACTTGAGAAGCGCCTAACGGAGCTGGAGGCAACTGTCCGCTGTGATCAGGATGCTCAGGTCAAGCGCTCTCCTTTACTTAGCCTGAGCCTCAAATCCAGTATCATGAGGTCCACAGCATTCCAGATAAGCCTGGGAGAAGTCAGCAAAGGGCTTTGGTTTCTAGGATCTGCCAGCTAGAAGGTTGAAGGGTGGGGAAAGGTGGTAATCACATGGCTATGAGGTTCACTGGTTTTTTTTCTTCCCTACCTTTTCCTCCAGAATCCCCTTTCTGCAGGTCTGCAGGGAGCCTGTCTGATGGTGAGTATGGAAGGAGTGTTGTGTTACAGAGGGGAGACTGGTACTGGACTTGTTCTAAGACTCACTTCTGAGTTATACCTACATATGAACTAACTCTCATGGAATATGGAAGGCCTGTTCTTAGTGTTCTTAAGTCCAATGGATTTCCCTTTGATACCCTCCAACCTCCAGGAGACTGTAGAGCTGTTACAGGCAAAGGTGAGCGCGCTGGACCTTGCAGTTTTGGACCAAGTGGAGGCTCGGCTACAGGTATTTAATGGGGCACAAATGCATTCTGGGTAGCTTGAGATACCCTGGGTGCCCCATCAGCTTTAAAATCTGTGCTTTCAGAGTGTTCTGGGAAAGGTGAATGAGATTGCCAAGCATAAAGCCTCTGTGGAGGATGCAGATACGCAGAGCAAGGTCAGGAAGATCCCTTCCCCAATTTCATACCCCTTTTGCTGCCTCGGGTTCTCAAAGTGGTATTACCAAAGCCTGCGAACACACTGGATCTTCAGGTCCTGTCTCTATAAGCTCCTATCTTCTGAGAAAGTCAGGACAGTGTTTCCCTCTCTCCTTGATCCTTTCTCCAGCTTAGTGAAGTAGCAGTGAGTTCTTTATGGCCATCTCAGCCATCTGCTTGGGCCCTGTCATGTCCCTCTAGGTACACCAGCTATATGAAACCATACAGCGCTGGAGCCCCATAGCATCCACCCTTCCTGAGCTGGTGCAGAGACTTGTTACCATCAAGCAGCTGCATGAGCAAGGTGGGAAGCCAAATGCCTGCCAGTCATGCCAAGAATTGAAAAAGCCACTTTATTCCTCTTCTTGTCTTGGCTTCTAATCTCAACTATACCTTTGTTTCTTCATTTGTAGCCATGCAGTTTGGGCAGCTCCTGACACACTTAGATACCACCCAGCAGATGATTGCCAGTTCCCTCAAGGACAATGCCACCCTTTTGACCCAGGTGTGTACTTCTGTTTTGATCTGCCCTCACTTTTCTCCAGCACATACAAAGTCCTCCAGCTTTACCACTTAAGGTTTTGCCTTAGTCCATTTTGTGGCCCAGTGTTGTGGCAGGGGCTTAGTTTGAATCTCCATACTGTTTTTTTTGTTGTTTTTTTTGGTACTGGGGATTGAACTTGGGTCCTTGTGCTTGCAAGGCAGGCCTCCGAACCGCTGAGCTAAATTCTCGGCCCTCTCCATACTGTTTCTCAGCAGTTAGGACCTCTGACAACTCAATGGATCCATCTTTCTAATTTGTAAATTGCACTTCTTTCAGTTATGTGGGTTAGATGCACTAATACAGGTGAATCATTAGGCGTTAGTGCACGTTTGTTTTAATATTCACTTTTTCTGTATAGTCCCAACATGGCTTTAGAGTCTTTGCCAGGGTCCATCCACTTCCTCTCACCCGTTCTCTCTCAGGACCATGACCCTCACCCTCTTCATTCATGCCTTTAGTAATGCCTGGCATCATGGGACCACAGAGATAAGGGAAAACAAAGTACTTGTTACAGCTGGGCACAGTGGCACGCACTTGTAATCTCAGCTACTCAGGCTTATTTGGTTCTCATTACATACAACAGATTTTTTTAAGTAGTAGTAGGAATTGAACCCAGGGCCTTAAAACTGAGCTGTATCTCCAGCCCTTTTGTTAATTTGATACCAGGTCTGTTAAATGGTCAGTGCTGGGCTAGAACTTGTTATCTTCTTACCTCAGCTTCTGAAGTACTAGGTTTACGGGTGTAAACCACCAAACCTGGCTAGGATGGGAATTTTTTTTTTTTGCTACCAGGTATCAAATTCAGGATGTGGTTGCTGGGGAGGTGCTGTGCCACTGAGCTATATCCTGGCCCTGGGATGGGAATTTTTAGGAGTCCTGCAAATGCCAAGATAGGCCCGTGGTACTCCAATGGTAGTTTTTGAAAAACACTTATAAAACACCTTCCCCTGGCCGATATACTGTTTCCATTTATTTTTTCTTTTCTGTAATTTCTTCGTGTTTTTCATGCAGGTAAGCATGTCAGCCTGACAGTACACCTCTCTACCCTCTTTGTAGGTGCAGACAACCATGTGTGAAAACCTGGCTACGGTTGAGGGAAACTTTGCCAGCATTGATGAGCGGATGAAGAAGCTAGGAAAGTGAGCACCTTTAGGAAGTGGAGAACAGGGATAACCCCTGCTTCTCTGAACTCTCTCTTAACAGCTACACAGGGTTTCCCCTTCATTGTAACTCTCCCAGCCCCATCCTATTTGACACTGGGGGCAAGGGTTCTTGCATGTGGGGTTTATGCCCCTCCCCCAATGGACAGAGTGGTAGCTGGGGGATATTATATGTGGTCTCCCCTCAGGCCCAGGGGATGAGGACATGGGCTTAGTCATATGCCAGCTCATGACCAATACTGCTTTGCCTGGTATAGGGAAGGATTGGGTCCTTGTCCTCCAACACAGCTTCTGTGGCTGACTATAATACTGTACAACTGTTTCTGACCATTAAATGCTGTTGTACTCTGTGTGGCCTCTGCTGTTTCCTGGGAAGAAGCAGTACTGAGACAGACAAACATTCAGCACATAGTAGACAGTCTAAGCCACTCCACTACAAGAAACAGATTTCAGTTGTAGCCTGTTCTTACCAAAGAACTAAATAAAAAATGAGTACAGAGCCAGAGCCAGAGTTTCAAAATATTCTCATCTGTTAAATTAAGAGTGTCTCCCATAGAAAAGCAGTGGAGGCCCCAAAGGGCAAGTACAAAACAGAATTAAAACTCCCAAGGGTCTTGTCTTTACAAAAGAAAAGGCAGGAGGCAGCCCCTGGACAGCTGGTCATGCTGGCCGCTCCGGTTGGACCACGTTGCATAATCCTCAGTCGCATCACCACAACGTCTCTGAGCATTTTGATGGGGGGAAAAGGGGCAGTGTAGTGTGTATGGGAGGAGAGGCCCAGAGGGCTCTATTTGCCCCCTTATCCCCTTTTTGTATTCCAGAGGACAATAGAGGGAACCTGGCTACACTCTGAAATGAGGCTATGTGTTTCAAACCTGGGGAAAGGGGTAAGAGGGGATCTGTGCTTTGAGCAACCTGAGCCAGAGGCAGAGGGATGTTAGGGTGGGGGAAGATGCATGATGCTTATTGCTTTGTACCTTTCACTGGGAAGGAGGGCAGCAGCCAACAGTAGCTCACAGGTTTGTAAACTGAGCCTGCTGGCTTTAAGAAGGGAGGCAATGAAGTCGAATTAAATATAAAAGAGTCATTTGTGCAAAAATAACTTAAACAAATAAAAGACCTGGGGAAGGGGGTGTTCCCCTTAGCGCCTGGTGGGGAAGAGGGCCATATACCACCCCCCCAGGCCTTTTCAGTGACATGGCTTTGGGGGGGAGAGGGTGAGCTTCCCTACCCCCTGCAATGGCTCAGGATGGGATTGTAGGGGAAGGGGTTGCATTTGTGCTCTGAGTGGGGAGTAGTACCCCCACCCACTGTCCACAGGTGCAAGTGGCTGGCAGGGGCTCCCAAGGCTCAGCACTCAGCTCTCCCCAGTCATGGTCAGATCCAGCTCCAGGTATGGCTGCTATGGGGCCAGTTTCCTCCTCTTGTTTTTGGCAGGACGGCCAGGGCGGGCCCGGGGAGGCAGAGGGACAGCCTATTCAGAGGGGAAGTTAAAAGAGTAATCAGCTAGGTATCAGGAAATCTTTTATTTATTCTTGACTTCCTCTAAGCCTCTCTCCCTTTCTTATCCCTTACATACCCCTCCTCATTCACCCACCCATCTACACCCAAACACATTCACACTTACTCGGGTTGTAGGGCTGGGTTCCAAGGTAACATCCTGGCGGGAGCTATTGCTGTTTCTGGTAGGGCTGCAATAAGGGGCACAGATGATCAGGAACAGCTCCCAAGCACCAGGTGAATTTCAGAAGGTTGGGTGGGAAACTTTCTACATTTGGATAGTAAAGGCATAATATCCTTATTCATATTCAAATAAATTATCTGCCCTTTTTTGAAAGCCAAGCCACTATTTGGACACTTCTATAACCCCAAGAAGCAGCAAGGCAAAGGCCAGTTTAAAGGGTGAGCCTAACACTCACTTGTATTTTCTCCTCCGGCCACGACGAGACTTTCTGACTATCCCCAGGGGCACCTGAGAAAAGAGATTCTGTGTGTATAGAAAAGTGAGAAAAGGCACCAGCCACCCCACGCCCCCCCCCCGCATTCCTCAGAGCCTCCAGGCCCAGCCCTCTCTCTTAATCACTGTACTCACCTTAAGGTCCTCAGAATGGGGCCCAGGAGGGGGTGGGTCCTTGGGCTCAGCACCCCCTTCAGCCAGCTCCCCATTATGCTGCCAGTGGTGGGTCCTCCTTGGGGACCGTTCCATTTGTCCATTGAAGCCACCACGTGTCCCCCACTTGAGGGCCAGTCGGCCAGGCTCTCGCCGGCTGCCGGGCTTTCGGCCCCGACTTGGCCTGGCTTCACCATTAATGCCCCTAAGTCCCCCTCCTCCCCTCCGGCCCCGTTTCCCTGACCCCCTCCCAGTAAGCAGCTCAGGGACTGGGGGGTCAGGAGAACTGTGGGGTGGGGCTAAGGCACTGAGGGGAGGCCGGGCAGGCTCTGGTTCAAGGGCTGAAGTAGGACTCTCAGGGGGCAGACAGGGGGCTTCTGGCTGCTCTGGAGGAATCTGCTGGCAAAATAAGACTTCAGTCAGTTTCAGATTCAATCTTTTATACTGTAACTCAGAAATCCTTAAATTTCCAGTTTTAGAAAAAAAAATTTTTTTTCTGACAAATATTCACCTCTGTCCTCACCTGGAGACTCTGTAGCAGGCAGGCTAGGGGACTAGAAGCCTCTGAGAGGGGTGGAGGAGCTCCGCCCCCAGGGAGGAGCTGCAGCCCCAACTGGCCAGAGAGAAGGGGGCCAGGAGGTTGCAACAGGCTGGGGAGGGTTCCAGGGCTGCTGGTCAGTGAAGATAGGTCACCTGTTGAAAAATCAGACAGAGGTCTCTCCTAGGCAAACCAATTAGGCAGAACAAACCCTACTATTCTCTAGGCCAGTTGAGACTTTCTTCCTCACTTTTTTACTGCTTCTCTTTCAGACTCACCCAGCAGGCTGGCACTCAGCAGAGGGCTAAGGAGTTGGGGGGGTCTCCCTGAGTTGGAGGGGGCCTTGCCCAGAGAGGAGGCCCCCGGGTCAGTAGTTGCCATGGTGACACTGGAGGTAGGTGGTCCAGGTTGGGGCGAACTCAGGACACAGGGCTAGGAAAGACAAGTTACAGCACTTACATACTTAAGGTATTTGATTGACTTACAGTATTTTCATATACAGGATCTGACTGAAGCCTCAAGTGACATAGGCCATGTTTACTCAGCAGACTCTGTTCTCACAGCTATCCCACCAGAGCAAGTCCTCCCCAGAACTCCTAAGAGCTCAGGCATGAAACTTGAAAGGCTTTCATTCCCAGCTCCCATGTTTGCTTCTACCTCTTGTCCTGTCCCATCCACTCATCCCCTATCCTCACCTGGGGGGGTGTCCCCGAGGGGGGATCCAGGCTGGCAGCCAACCAGCTCCCATTTGCTTCTCCCTCTTGTCCTGTCCCATCCACTCATCCCCTATCCTCACCTGGGGGGGTGTCCCCGAGGGGGGATCCAGGCTGGCAGCCAGCAGCGCAGAATTTAAAGCTATGAGGGTAGGGGGGGCTGAAAGTGGGGGGAAAAGTAGAGGGGGCAGGTCTCCTAAACCTGAAAATGGCTCCCCACTTGGACCTCCAGCTCCCTCTGAAGATCCCTCCCCATCTCCAGCTGTGGGGCCCAGGGCCAAAAGGGGCAGAAAAGAGGCAAGGAGATTGCTAGGGGGTGCAGAAGGAGGTGACAGAAGGTCTGAGGAGGGTGGTGGAAGCAAGGAAGCCACCAAAAGCGAAGGCCCATCAGGCTCGCCTGAAGCTAGGGGAGGGCCAGGGCCTCCTGGTGGGGGTAGCAGGGGCTCAGGGGGAGGCTGTCCTCCACCCCCAGCCAGCACACCAAATAAACTGTGGCTGAGCAGTGGAGAGGGTGGAGGCTGCCCCAGACTCAGAGGGAGAGGCAGGGCCCCCAGCACCCCTGGGAAGCCAGCTCCACTCAGCGCCAGGCCCTGCTCAGGGCTAGGAAAAGGGAAAGCCTCCCCACCAGCCAAGGGAGGCAGAGGACAGGCTGGGCCCGCCCCCATCCCCAGCCCTTCGGATGGGCTTTGAAGCACAGGGCTGGGGACTATGGGGGCTTTGGAGGCAGCTGGTGGGGCATGGGCACCTGTAAAAGAAGAGAAAGATTCAGCTCAAGGGAGTTCCTTTCTCCCGGCCACCAAAGATCCCAAACTCCTTGCCTTCCACTCAACCACCAAAGAATGCTAAAATTTCACCTAAATGCCCTCTCTGCCCTCCCTGGCTGCCTCCATTCCCTCAGGATGAAGAAGGGCTCCACAACACTTACATACCTGGCACACTGCTGAGGCTGCCACTGGTGGTCCCAGGCAGGGAGGGCTGGATAGGGTGCCTGGGCTGGGGAGGGCTCCCTGAGGAGAGGGTTGGGGGAGGAGGAAGGTGTGCATCTGACCCCAAAAGGTTAAAGCTTCCGTCAGAGTGGGAAGGGCCAGGGGTGGGGAGTCCCAGCAGAGACAATACAGAAGGGAGAATCGGTTGGGAAGGTTCTGGAAGAGGAAAAGGCTGGGGCATAGGAGCAGGGACCCGAGAACGGCTCCGTCTAGGGGTCTGAGGGCTTCCCCCTTCTAGCAATCGCAAGACAGTTGGAGGTCTGCGGGATCGACGCTGAGAGGGATGGGGTGATGGGTGAGAAGCAGAGGGTGCCTGGGCACGGGGCCTTCGACCCTGTAAAGTGCTGGGAGAGGGTAGCGGGGGATGCTGTGCCTTGGCCGCTGCAGAGAGTAGGCTGCTAGCAAGAAAGGGGGGTGCCCCAGGCCCCTCCACCGTGGGATCCCCTCCCAGGGATCCCAGGACCAGGGGCAGGTGCATAGTGGCTGAAGACACTGGTGGCTGAGTGGCAGGACCAGAGAGGCCAAGGGGGGCAGGGAGATTATTGCTTGGGGGCAGGGGAGGGGGTGTTAAGGCATCACTACAGTGGAAGAGAGGAGGATCTGAAGGTGGTGAGGAAGAGGCAAGAGGGGCTGGAGGAGAGCCTAGGTCAGAGGGCACCAGACTGGACCGGAGGGCAGCTCCCCACTGGTATGAGGGGGCATTGAGGCTGATAGGTGGAGGAGGTGGGGCTGGAGAAGGGGCATTGCCCCTTGGGAGGAAACAGGGGCTGCTGCTGCCCCCAGAGGGGGCAGGGTCAGGAAGCCTTGGTGGCTGGAAGAGCTCCCCAGGGCCCACTAGAGAAGGAAAGGCCTGGGGAACTGAGGGTGGCTCTTGGGGAAGGGAGCCAAGACCCCCATTAAGTGGAGTTGCAGGAGGAATTCGACAGGGAGCACAGGCAGAGGGGGGCCCTGGGGACACAGTGTGGAACATTTGGGGGCTTGCTCCCTCTCCTGCAATAAATGAGAAATGAAGGGTTAACCTGTAGCTTCCCTTTCAAGAACTTTTTTTGTCTTCTCTAGTCCTATCTCCCGAAAGTTCCCAGCCTTCCAATCCCCTCCGCTTACCAAGAAGCTCCACATACCACTCCACCCTTCTCCTTACTCCCTCTCATACATCTCCCACCATCCACCTTCCACCTTCCATCCTTAAGATTTTCCTCAGTCTTCTGCAAAGTGGCAGAACACTCACCAGAAGAATGTGAGCAGGTGGTCTCCATGCTTCGGTACAGAGTTGCCATGGCAACAGCTTTCCGGCGGTGGTTGCACAGCTTGGTCATGTCCTCCTCTGATGCTGGCCCCACCCCAGCCCCACCCGGGGTCACCGGGGCCAAAGGGTCAAAGTTGAAAACCTGTAGGGTAGAAGGCAAGGGCAGGAACCCTGAGGGTGTGTCTCCAGAGCAGGGGCAGAGGACAGCTCTGCCTAGGGGTTTGAGGGCTTCCCCCTTCTGGCAATTGCAAGACAGCTGGGGGTGCCAAAGGCTACCTAGTCAGTGATTTGCACTGTCTCCAGGTTTATCCCTGTACTCTCTGGGACCCATCATGACTCTGACCTTGGGGACATTGAGTGGACACTCCAGACCACACTTGCAGGTCCCATCTCTGAGGAGGTAGCTCCGGGTTTGTTCCAAGGAAGACAGCTCTGTGCCACTTGGGCTGGAAGAGGACAGGGCCAGAGATTAGGTGACAGTGAATCAGAAAATACTCCCTACCAAACACTTAAGTTTAAGAATTTCCCAGAAAAGGCAGAAGGTAAGGGAAGTACGACAGAGAGAAAATGGATTCAAGGCCCAGAAATACAGAGCGCAAAGATGGCTGAGGAAGAATGAAGAAGAGCAACAGGGTACCAGAAATCAGAACTTTGAAAGCAGAGGTGGGAAAAAAAAGTTAGGCAAGCCAAGGACAGCCAGGTTGATCAAGCCTGAGGAACGCTGAAGATCTATACCTGATATAGAGCACAGCACCCTCTCGCACACAGCGCTGCCAGCCGATGGGGACAGATGTGGCCACAGGGCCCCCAGCTCTGTCTGCTCCACTGCTCTCATTGCCCCCATTCATTGTGTGTAATCAGCTCCCGCGTGCCTAATAACACAGACATCCATGTGGGCACTAGGAGGATTAAACTGGGCTGGATACCTGACAGGGACTCCAGGAAGGCAAAGGTTGTGGGGAGACCCAAGGAAATTCAGGGGAAGCCTCAGAATGACAAGGTGCTCCTAAGAGACCTAGGAAAATGACAAGGAATCCTCTGCCATACTGCCATAGCTACCTGAACATCTCTGCAAACATCGTGAGGTCCAGTCTAAAGCCCAGGCCGCCAGCTTAGCCCACACCTGCAACATAGGAGAAAGGATCCTCAAGAATTTGCCCAACTTAAAAAGAGCACCACAGCCCAGGACGATCAAGAAGAGACCCTAACAATGTGAAGTGCCTAAAATGATCTCAGGGATTTGCTGGCTGAGTCCATAACCATCTTTTCAAAGTCCAGTCCCTAAAGATCATAGAGGGTCAGGGACTGAGCTCCCAGGGACCAAAGCATCCTAGCCCAATTTCCAGGCATATGGTGGGTCAGGCCCTTTGTCCTATTAGGGACACCTCTGTGTGTGACGTGTGGGCAAATTCCCATAATGCCAGGACACTGAGAAGTTTCCCAGAGCATCTGGCTTCATCTCCCCGAGAAAGTTCATATAAAAAGTAGACTGCCCCATGGGTCACCAGGCAATGGCCCAATTACCTGCTGGAAAGATAGCAGCAAAATTCCCCCTGCCCACTCCATCAGACAATTACTGATCTAGTTTATTTGGGGCTTGGGTGAACAGAGAATCACAGCACTGCCCTCAGGATCCAAAGAAGCTCCTTATTCTCCAAGACTAAGGCAAAGAAGATTCAGAGCTTCCAATATCCCTGGTTTCCGATTAGCTCCAAGACGTGCTCTTCTGATATGCGGGGCGCCCCCCAAACCTGCAAGTATTTCCCCCAACCTCACCATAGCTCCCACTCCACACTGACGATTTCCAAACTTTCCCTCTCATAACAAGGCGCCCTGTCACCCAGACTGCTTCCCTCTGCTTGGGGAGGAGGGGAAGGCGCACGAACTAGGAAGGAACTTGGAGAGAGGGCGGGCAGAGGGTGGGCAAAGCACTGAAGGGAGGGAGGTGAGGAAGGCAGAAGTCAGGCAGTGAGAGGGAGAAACGGCGGGG